AAATACGGTAGTATGTTCCTACTCTCTCCTCGCTCTCTCCTCCTCTCTCTCTCTCTCTCCCTCTCTCTCAGAGAAGTCGACCTGTAAAATCAAAATTAAAAAAGAAGTTTTTATTATTTTAGTTTTACAGAAATAGTAAATTAACGAATTATTTTCAACAATTTACCTTAAAATCTTTTGTACTTCAAATTATGATTACAAAAGAAGAAAGTTTATTTTTACTATTAAAAGAAAATTTCTCATCTTTATAATACGAACTTTCACCTATTCGGACATTGACATTACTGAGTGTAATAATGGCGGAAATGTCCATGTTTATCTAGCACTCTAAGTCTATCATCAACTGGACAGTTGCGCTCTATTCATACTATTGATTTCCATTCCTGCAAAACGATAGCTGAAAATGAACAATATAACAATGTTATAACAGTTATAAATTGAAAGGTTAAAGTGCTATTAGTTAGTCTGACCTTTGTCCTTTAACAAGCTATCTGAAGTTAGCCTGGTACGAGAAATAATCCAAAAATTTCGCAAAGTACTAAATGTTATTTTCATTAGGTTATAGAAAAAGCCATTATCACATTTGTATATTATACGGAAGTACCTTTATGTTATAATTAGTTACTATCATTATCAACGTTATCACTACAGTTATCATCTGACATAATTATCATTCCAGTAAAATGGAAGAAGGATAATTCGTTTGTAATGCAACCAAGCAAAAAGGCTGTAAATAAGTTCAAGATGATGACGAATGAGGAGGAAGAAGGAGGAGGAGAAGGAGAAGGAGAAGAATGAAGGAGGAGGATGAGGAAGAGGAAGAGGAACAAGAAGAGAAGGATGAGAAGAAGGAAAAGGAAACACTTTACACTTTAAAATTGCAAGCATCGCATATCATCTTGCAAAGATAAAATGAAAAAGAACCATCCAAGCTCGAAGCTAAGCAACTTTTTGTATATTCTTTTCCTGATCTTTCTTGTGACATTATATCATATCATATTCAATGCTGGTAATATTCAATACTGATAATATTCAATGCTGGTAATATTCAATACTGATAATATTCAATGCTGGTAATATTCAATACTGATAATATTCAATGCTGGTAATTATTACAAT